TCTCTCGCTGCTAAGTCTAACCAGCACCATTCCAAAATCCCCCGAAACCCCGTTTTCTCACCAAACAAATGCAAATTCTCAGGAAAGGAATGCATTTTTAGATGCGCTCGCCATTTGTTTTGTGTCCTGACTTAATTAACGCTGACTTACTCATGTTGCCGGGACTCGTTTACCCCAAACCCCGAACCCCGATCCCGATTCCTCTTAACACCCCGGGGGTCCTCTATAAGCCGCTTGCCGGCATTGTTGCTGCCTTTTGTTGATAATTACTTTTGATAACTTGGCTCTCTTACTTAGTGAGTCTGTCTCTTGCTGTCCTCTTTCCCTTCTCCACCAATTTTCCCCCTTTTTCCCCATTTTTTCACGCGGTTTTTCGGTTTATTTTATAGTTTTTGCTGGCGGTTTTTCCTTCCAACTCGCATATGGCACCATTACAGAGCTTATCAGCAAGCTTTCGCATAAGCTTTAGTTTTAGTTCCCCTCGCTTCGTGCCTTTGGCAACCGACTGGGCTAAGTGCTCCGTAAGCCTTGAGGTAGGTCAAGTAAAAAATTTCAACCAGGCTCAAAAAGGGCAGCTACAACAGCCCAGACTGCTGTGAATAATGCAATTATCATGGAGCAAAGCTGCGATGCGAGACCATGAATTATTAACAGAGAGATGGAGAAGTGTTAAAGCTGCTAGTTATACGGTGTTTAAAGTCGAAGTTGTGTTATTTTTTAACTTGGGATACAAGTGGTAAATTCTAATAAATAAATTCAAAGAGATAACCTATGTTTATATGTTAATATCCGTGGCGCATCCAGAATTATATTGGGGGAGTACAAAAAAAGAATTTGTTGAATAGAATACAAAAATTTGGATCTATCCCCCGTGGATTCGTACATAGTTAATATATTATTAGGTTATTTTATAAACTCAAGAAAATTTTTTTTATAATTTGATTAAAGAAATCATTTACCATAAACTGTACAAATACATATACTTATACTTAACATTTTACGAGTTAAAGATATAGGGCTTCGTTACCGAAAAAGCTATCTTCCAATAGCGGTTTCCAAAAGAAAAAGTTCGACTTGGTAAGTAAACAGAGGGAAATGCCTTTCCCATTTCATGCATATTTGTTGGCTTAGGAAGTGTTTGGCCCAATAATATTTGCCACTCTATTTACATATTGTAAGGCACCCAATTTTCTCCATTTTCCCCCCTTTTCCCCCCCTCAACTATTGCTTTCACTGTTTGGCATGCAAATGTGTGTGTCTGTGCATAATGTGGCCCGTTCATTGTTGTCGTTGTTTCTGGATGTTTCTGTATCGCACATTTGGTTTTATTGCATTCCTTTTTTCGCACGCAAGAGGCCTCAAGTTTTTAGCTCGCACTCCTCTTCTAAATGTCAGCTGTCAAATATATATGTATGCCCATACACATCTTATGTGTATTCACATATTTACTACTATTGCACTTAGAGAAATATCCTAGTAATTTATTCCAGTAAAGCTGGTTTTAAAAGTACAATATGTTCTTGCATATATTCTTAATACTATGATTAATGTTCTGAATTGAAGTGAGTTTATTTTAAACATTACAAAAAATACATAACATTAAAAAAAATCTGAAGAATTAAAAAAATTGCATATAAAATAATTAAAAAAGTTCACCTCGAGGAGTTGAATACCGTAATAAAGTGGTTCATTTAGTAACAAAATCTTAAATAAGTTGAAAAGGGAATAAAAAAGTGATCCTATTCAATAAATAGAAAAGGTCATCTCAAGGAGTTGAACTCGGTCCCTTGCAAAATACTAAACTATTGAAATACAAAGATAGAAAAGTAAGAAATTACTTTAGTAGTTAGTTTGATCTTCCAATAAAATTTCTCTAGGTGTATATGCACATATTTACCATATATATTTTGATGGGTAAGTTGGTTACTTTTGCCACAGTGTCCTTGAAACGGGTGTGTGTGGGTGTATTTTGTCTGTTGCCAAGTGTCTGTGTTTCTGTGTTAGTGGACAGCTGTTAAAGTGACAACATCGCGTTGAAAATTTATGCGATTGCTTATAAATCGGATTTATTTTGATATGCAGGCCAGTGATTCACTGATGATACCGGCAAGTTCCAGAAGCGTGTTTAGAGCGCTCGTATAATCAAAATTAACGGTGTGATAAATTTTATAAGCCTGGCTTACTCGCTCAATCTGAGAGAATAGACCGTAAAAAGTAATTTAATTCAATGAGCTGTTTTATTTTAAGATTCTATTCCGACGAATATCTAATTGGTATTTTTAATAGATTTAATAGAATATTCCAGCATGAAATAATAGGTTTTAAATACAATTTTATAAAATTGTTGTTTAGTTATAATTAACTATTTGAAATCAAATCTGATTGAATAAAGAAACCAAAACGAAAATTCCGTATAAATAACATTTTACAATTAAAACGGTGACCCATATTTCCCTGATGAAAATTAAAGACCCCACTTGCTTAATTTCCCACACAAGCCACTTAATCACAATGGCAACCAGCTGATGGACATCAGACCAATTATTCAAATCATTAGTATAGTTCCGATTATACGTATGAATCCATAAGACCCACAAAAAAAATGCAAATCAAAAGGTCATTGAATCGCCCACAGAAAGCGTACAGAAACTGAAGTCGCCCCAAAAGACATCATTTGTATGGCTTGCCCATAATCACAAATAAATAATTAACAAATTTGGATTGAAAATGTCAAATTGCCATAGCCCTGAGCTAAATCCGTAGAGTTGAAGACCCACAAAACCGAAAAATGAGTATAAAATACAAAGTCAATTTGCATAAAAGCGGCGATAAAAGAGAGCGCCAAAACAATTTGTCAATGTAACACCCAAGAGAATACCCCTCCCTTTCTCTTTTGGCCCTCTCTTCGCATGCAAATGAGGGGTTGGAGGGGGTGGGAGAAAGGGGTCGAGGAGGAGGTGGTGATAGCGTGCTAATTTGCGAAGGCAAAGTCAAAATAAAGCCATAAATATGGCAAATGTTTGAAGTTGTTTCCTTTCCTTCCGGACCACCTCTGTCTCCCTCTCTCTTTCTGGCCTCTATACCCATCTCTTTCTGACCTCTATTCCCCTCTCTCTCTCTGACCTCTATACCCCTCTCTTTCTCCCGTCCCTATATCCCCCTCTTTCATTCATTGGCCATCATTAAACCAACAATGTTTAATTATACACTTATCGGTAAACAAACCTGATGACTTGGAGCGGTCTCTCACCTTGAGCTTTTTACATTGATTTCCATTCCGAACCAAAAAAAAAAACAGCTCTGAAAACTCGTCTACCATCTCGATATCATCAAATTCGAAATTCGTGCAGTAACAATAAAAGTTAAAATAACTAAAAAAAAATAAAGTAGTTTACTAAGCTCTTATTACATCTGCGATTCATAGAAAGACTATATGGTGAAAGGTGGTAAGGGGAAGGCGAATTGAAAGTGGAACGAACGGAAGTACAACAAATAAAGCATTCGCACTGTGGGCCCCGCTAAGAAAACTTTGGACCTGCCCAAAAAGGTTATCAGAACTTATGGCTTTGCTTACGTGAGGAAATTATTAATCCTGAAGAATTCACTTTTTCTAGTTTTCTCAGAATTTCTACTTCGAGGTTTCCGAGTGCATCAACCCTGTTGTAAATATTTAATAAGCCATCAAGTGCAATTAAAATTTGCATTAAAAAATGGTTAGCTTAATTAGGTTTTATTTTAGCTGCTAAATTTTGTACAAGGCTATATAACCCAATTGCTTTAAGGCGGGGATTTTATTTGAAAAAATTCATAATTCACAAATTGTAGCTCTTATTAAAAAACCTAAGCTCAACCAAATAAAGCTGAAACTACATCTTTAGACTACCTCTTTTTCGTATCTTTTTCTTAAAATGTTTTAATGGTTAGCTTAAATTATGATAGGGTAATTACAAGGCTAGGTATGACAAAAACATAACCATTTCAGCTTAATAAGCCTCAGTTTATGTGGTCAAGACAATGGTTAAACTTAAAAATGAGGAAGCTCAGGGAACTCGTAACCTGCAAATGTATAGCGTTGGACACTATAATTACGATTATGAATTCAAAACTACAAGCCACCTGCTTCCCACATTTATTAGCCCATTTAATTTTTGGTTTACCCGCTTCCATGTTTCCCAAGAGTCAGGTTTCCCCATGGATTAGCAACTCCAACCCCATTTCGATCAAAAACCAATAAATGGTAATTCACTTAAACCGTATCTAAATCAACCACGAAGCTTGCCCAATTTTTCCACTGTAGATCCCCAGATAGGTGGGCCCAAATTGCAGTTCGAATCCGAATCCTCCAGCTGTTGTCGAGTGGTTATGGCGATGCCTGATCCAAAACTACAAAAGTCGAAAAGTCGAAAAGGGTGCCCCAGACACAACGTAATGCTCCACTTACTTCCTCGAATGCGAGCATATACAGAAAACAAAAAAATAACAGAGCAGAGGTGCTTTCAATTTGCACAAAACTCCACATAAATTACATAAGTTGACCATAAAACCTGAAGAAACAGAGCATTTGCAGGAGAAGCAGCAGAAGAAGCGGCAGAATGGGTGCGGTAAGTGCACCATTTTGGAGCGGCTTTTGGAAACTGGTTGACCAACTGACCTTGAAGCACTTTTGGAGATGGGGCCGCTTACGCAATGCAATATACCCCGATTCCAGTTCGATCTTCTTCTCTACACGAAAGTCAACAAATTGCAGCTTCCCCAGCGACGATTGCAAAATTACATTTGAAGTTTTTTTGGTGAGCTGTGGTATTGCTTGAGTTTTTCCCCCAACAACAACATGTCAGATCTTTGGCTTGTCAAAAATGTAAACACAAAAGTCTCGGGAGGGGAAAAAAACATATACCAAAAAAAAAAAAATGTATAAAAAACGAAGCGACGTCGCCGCCGACGCCGCTGCTTTTGGCCAGGTCTCAAGTGCGATATAAAAGCCCGGCCACAAGCCGATCAACGAACCACAGTCCAAAGTCGCTTGCAGCTAAAGACATCCCAGTGCAGAGAGTTTAACCACCCCAGAAAATATGTTCAAATTCGTGTTGATCGCCAGCCTGCTGGTCGCCATTTCCTTGGCAGCTCCTGCCGTGAGTGTTAACAAATATACAAAAAAAAAATTAAAAAACCAATTTTAAAACAAGACATAGACATGGCAAAGAAAGTTTACGGGTCTATAAGTTTCCATTTAGTGACAAAGAAATCAGTTTATAACGCGATGTTGCCGCCGGGTCGTTGATGTTGCTGCGGGGTTTTCACGATCGCACGCACTTGGGTCGCTTGGTGCTGCGGTCCATTTCGCACTTCTCGAAGCTGCCGCACTTGACATTGCCGCAATAACTGCCAGTTGATCCAGCTAAAGAAAACAAAATTAAAAGTTATTAAATTTCAAAGCACAAAGATTTGGACCTAGATATATGGGTCCTATTCCAAACTATTTTCATCTTAAATTTTGATTTTCTAAAAATCAAATATAGAAACTTTTTTGATCCAAAAGGCCCTTTGAATTATAAATTAGATTTATATTTCTATTTCAAAATGTCATTATAAAAATGATTTCAGTATTATTTATTTTGAAAATAACCATTTTCAAAATACTCTTTAAAAAATCAGATTTCATTTTTGTTGTCAAAAGAACAATGGATATGAATAGTAAAGGATCATAAAAAAAAATATTATATACCCTTTTACCAGAAAAATTTGATTTAAACATCAATTTTTAAATTGAAAATTTGCATATCTTTGTAAGCATACTACCTACTGGGTTATACTTCATAAGGTCAAAACTTAAACCGGTATTTTTTCTTGATAATATAACTTTCTGAGAGAACTTACTGTTTTTGCTGCCAAATGGCGATTTATCGGCTCCGGAATTTCCCAGCAAATTGGGTGAAGCACAGCTGCGACCATTGCACAAGTTCGGGCAGCATTTACCTCCAATCGCACTGCACTCGCTGTCATGCAAACATTTTGGGGTACAATTTTGGACCTTTGTGGACGAAGGACAATCTGCCGAAAAAGAGAGAGTCCATGAAAAAGCTCTGGGAAAGCTGAAAATGGGCACATACCACCCGCAGCAAAGGCAGCAACCACACAGGCGGCAATTAACAGAGAAAGAAAGCCCAGTTTAACTGAAATTATATAAATGTAAAAGCAAATTCTGAGTGGTTCCGCATTTCGTGCGAATATTTATAGTTATATATTTGGACCTACCCATGATGATAGTTGAACGTCCGCTTCGTTACTATAGTCAACACCGACTGCCGTTCATCGGGCTTTATATGCCCCGATCGGCGGTTTCGAGTCGAACAAGTTTTCTGCTTATTTGCCTTTGTATTTTTCATTTTTCACTTTATTTTTTGTATCTTACCTCCCCAACTTGCCTTGACGAGAGGTACTAAAACAAGGGAACGAAAAAAACACGGATAAAAACAACAGCAAATCACATATCATTTTGACTTTGAATTTACATACAAACAGGATCGGAATAAGCGGTATTTGAAGACGCTACCTTAAAAGGAACATGTAACACCAAAGTAGTATGGCGATCGAAAAAATATTCAATTCGAAAATGATATTAGTTACATTTTTATTAGACTCCAACACTATCATCAGATATTTTAAAAGAAAAACTTTATTTACTTCACATCATTAGCATACCACTATAGCGTATGAGACAACCTCAAGACCCCAGCCTAAAACACATATCTAGACTATAATACATCGACATATTTCAATTACTATTTCCGTTGATGCAGTCGCACAAAAGACAGGGAAAAAAATGTGTCAAAACGTCGCGTCGTAATGAATATATCACTTCTTCGACTTAAATCATTGTTGAGTCATTCAAGCACAGTCCAAGTTTACACGATACTTAGAAGTCAAGATATTAAACTTTGTAAAACGTTATAACATTTTCACTATCGCAGTTTCGTAGTTTCGAGTTAGCTTGTCTATATCTATCATGTGGTGTACACTTTGATGGAGTCATGTAACCAGAGATAATATAGACTATAGTCTATACAGACTTTGATGTAACCATTTTTGACAGGAGACTATAAAACTTAATAGTTTTCCGGTTCAATGGGTCATTGTTGATTACCGGAATGGGGAATCCCGAAGTCTAGGTGACCGGACCAAAATATTTAAATCTTCAGCTTAAAAACTGGTACAATTTATTTGCATAATGAAGTGTTAGAAAAAGGGGCGTGTTTGCTGACCTGAAATCTTCAGAGCCTTTTAAAAAAACTCAACGGACTTATATCATAACATATCACATAAATCAGTCAGAATTTATGCATTATAAACTATTAACTTCAGGAGTGTTGGCGATTATAATAATTTGATTATATATTTTGAATTTTTCAGCGCGATGAGACCGATGCGGAAAGGGCAGAAAGGGAGGAATACGAGAAATATCAGAATGAAAATGCGCAATACGCGTTCAATTCCAAGGTGGACGATAAAATCAACGACGGACAAATTACCCGGACTGAGGAGCGTGAAGGAGGCACAGTGCGTGGTTCCTACAGTTACTTCGATGGATTTGTCAAACGCAAGGTGGAATACATCGCCGACAAGGATGGCTACAGGGTACTTAAGGACGAGATGGAGGATGTCGGCAATGGCCCACAATTCAATCCCGAAGGCCAAGCTGATGTAGAGGGTTCTCTGATCGGCAAGTACTCCATTAAGTTGGACAAGGACGACGAGGAGAAGCACTACAAGGACATTCATGCCTAAGAAAATATGAATTGGAGATTTCTAACATTTAGAAATGGACTGAATACATCGTAGAGCCTTAAAGTAATGTAAACACCATCTGAACAAAAATTGTATTTTTCCTCCGAAATAAAAAATCAACAAAATTAAAATACGTCCTGTAATTATGAATGCCACTAAACAGCGAATATAGGACGCGATCCTTCCCTTCTTTATAGTACCACGGTTATTTTCTTATTTTCAAATTTATTTGTAATAATGTTTATTTATTGGTTAATTTTGCGGTAAGTGCATCTAGGAGCAAAACGTTGTTCTTCATTAAGGTTTTGTTTTTGAATTTGGATTTATCTCGCCATTGGTTTTTGCTGATGTTGCTGTTGATTTCTGGCTATAATTCATTTAGTTTCCTCATACTGTGTTCATTTTTCTGTTTGTAGTTCTTTTTTTCTCTTCATATTTTTAATGTATTTTCGTATTTATCAACAGTTTTAGCTTAACATATAGGGTTTCGTTTAGAAATCAATTACGTGTATTACATTTACGTTTATGCGCTACATGCTAAAGAAATGTGGGCGTGGAGAGTCTTAAATCGCTTGGGTGAGTGTGTATGTGGGTGTCGTCGGGTGGATAATACTAAACTTAGAGAATTACAAATTAAAGCCTAAGCGCTGGGCCCAAGCGTTTTCAAAATACATTATGAATATTTCATAAATTATACAGTAAATTATAGTATACTTAACTAACAATAAGTATATTGATCAAGTTCGCATATTCATAGATCGAACCAACCGAATCACGCACATACAGCGAATAAATTATAAAAATATAGTCATTAGACGTGAGTGAGTCCATATGCTAACCTAACCTCGTATGTAGTTCATATTGTTCCATATAAATTACATTTAAACATATATATTTACATTTGAATTAGTTCAGTTGGATCATATTTGCTTTGCTGTAATTTAAATTATAGTTTTCATATCGAATTCTATTGTTCTTTTAGAGTGCTTGTGATATCCTTAAACAATCACAAAAATCAACGAGTATCTTTAGGGATATGCAACAAGCACAAAACACACAACACTAGCTTGCATTTTAGGCTTAACTCCTCTTCCCTATCTTTATACAAAAAGTGTTACGAATTGCCAGTTTTGCTTAGTTTACATGAATTGCAAATGAATTATAATATACATTAATGTATGGTTGCCATTGCTGCGTCTGTGCGTAAGCCTCTGCACTTGCGTTGTTTTACTTTGTTGGTTGTACACTTGGTTTTCGCCTTTGCTGTCTTCGATTGCTATAGTTCACAATTCAAACACTCGGTATCTCTCTCTACTGGGATCGACTAAAGATACGTGTATCTAAGTAACTATAATACGTTATCCACCTCATCTAATCACGCAGGCGACGCACAGCTTTGCCGCACCGATGCAATCGTCGTGACAGAAGGCTCCGCATTGCTGGCAGATCACCATTGCGTTAAGTGAGCAGGCGCAATTGTTTGGCGCTGCTGCTGCCTCATTGCCTGGCGGAGTGTTCTCCCCGCTCGGATGCAGCTGAAGCAGTGGATGCTGGTGTTGCGTAGCGGATTGCTGCGACTGTTGTTGCTGGTTGACGGGCGAAGGTGCTGCTGTTGGTGCTGCGTTGGTCGTCACTATGTAGTTGTTGCCAGCTTCCATAAGAGCGACGGAGGATGAGTTGGTATTGCTGCCGTCGATGTAGGCGATATTGGGTCCTAATTGGAAATTATTTGAAAACTTTAATTAGATGTATACGGCAATGAAGTCATATTCTATAGTTAAATACTTACTAATAAAATAAATAATCTATGAAGTATAAACATATTCATTAAACTGGTGTCTAACAGGGGCCGAGTCAACTATAAATTAAGGTACAGAACATTTTTGATACTACATTTATGCTCTACAAACTTAATACACCTTTGAAACTAGTTACAATGAAACCTTTTAGAAATATTTAAATTCAAATAATATTTGTAAGTTTTCATATGTTTCATAGGCCCCTGCTATGCGACTGGACTTAGGAGAATTAAAATCTTTCCTAGTACATGCAACTTATCTAGATAAAGTACAAAACAAAAAAGTGATTCGATCACGTTGGTTAATCTAACAAATCTATGCAACAAACTAATGATTGCGTGCCAATTATGGTAACATGACCAATAGGTTGATGAATTTGTGGGTGGTGATTTGAAAGACGTACCTCGCTAACCACTAATAATACACCAATTTACCTGCAGCGATATTGCGCCGCACAATATTCGCGGCGGCGCCCACATTGCCCAGCGGCTGCGGCTGCTGATGTTGCTGCTGCTGCTGTTGCTGCAGCTCGTGGTGATGATGATGCAACGGATCTGTGCCGGACATTGTTGGCGCCATAACGTTGCCGCTGCCTGCAGTTGTATCCACCGATGCTGGACGCCCGCGTCCACCCATAGAAATGCCATTCAGGCTGTGTAGCGGATTCTGAACAGTGACAAACTAAATGGCATACAAATTTCAGTAAGGATTAAAAATTTTAAAATGCTCAATGATGATTTACCTGGTTTTGATGCATTGGTGGGGCGCTGGAGGCCCTAGGCGCTTGATTGTCAGCAGCACCAACATTTGCGCGATGAACAAGAACATATTGCCCGCTACCATTCTGATGGATCAATTGCTCCGGCGCCGGCTGCTGGGAATTTTGCACTGACACTGGCACTGGCACTGGTGAAGGGGCCGACTGATGATGCTGCTGCAATAACTGCAACTGTTGAGGGGTAGCTGTAGCTCCGCCAGGTCCTGGACTAAACACATGCCGGATGAGGGTGGTGGGTGAGGGCTTTCTTTGCACGTATTTCTTCCGCGGAAAGCCACTCATTCGGGGTCCAATGACCTGAAACAGCCAAAGATTTGTTTAGTTTATAAAGAAAATAAATTAATACAAGCTAACTTTTACCTTATACACTCCCGGACGTCCGACACCCATTACATTCGGCGGTAATCCAGCGGGCAGAGCTCCAGCACCCACGGCTCCACTGACCAACAGCTCTTCTTGCTTCAAAATATTCTGCGGCGGGGCTGCGGCCACGGCTGCTGCTCCCATACTCCCACTAGCCGTCGTCACGTTGGACATGGGTGTGGCAGCCACCGTTGAAACATTTAGGGTCACCGGGTTGACAGGTGTCGCCGCAGTAGTTACCGTCGGCTGATGCTGGTTCAGAATGGCGGCAGGCGGACGCAACTGCGCCTTCAGGTTTTCCCGATTCGGACTGTTTTGGATTACGGCCTGGCAGATTTGATAGCTACGCTCCAGATTGACAGCACCCGGTGGCAACCTGTTGCTGGTGGCCTTGCGTCCCTTACCCGTTGGCATTTTTGGCTGCAATCTTTGCTGGGCTATTGTGGAAGGCACTCCCGATGGGGGCAAGGCTTTCATCGTAAGCACATTGGGAATAGTAGGCAACTGCTGCATATTGCTGTTGTGATTGGCCAGGTGCTGCTGCTGGGCTGTTTGCTGCTGTTGTTGGGGGGCAGGTACTGGCGGCGATTGTTGCGCGCTTGCCACAGCAACAACATTGGCGTAGGCGGACGGAATAGTTGCGGTATTTGCTGTTGTTGCTGCTGTGGTAGGCGATGCATTGGCAGGTCGCGTCATAGAGATGATATTCAATGGCTTGGCAATGAACTTGGACTGCGTTGTCGCTGGAGCAACATTTTGCTGCTGCTGTTGTTGTTGCTGCTGCTGCAGTAGATTGTTGTTAGCAGCCTGGGCCAGTAGTTGTCGCTGATGTAGTTGCGCCTGTTGCAGGGCAAACTGCTGAATTTGCTGTTGCTTTTGTTGTGCAGCAGCCTGCTGTTGTTGCTGTTCCAGTTGTTGCTGCTGCTGGTGTTGTTGGGCGAGCATGTTTGGAGACAAGAACTGTTGGGCTCCGTTGCGAAGAGCCACTGGTAATGTCTTAGTCAAGGCGTTGCTACTTGTTGCTTGCTGTTGTGGCTGCTGCTGATGCTGTTGCTGCTGCTGCTGATGTTGTTGTTGCTGCTGTGCGGCAGCCGCCTGCAGCGTAAATTGTTGTAGTAGCTGCTGTTGTTGCTGCTGGCGTTGCTGTTGCAGCAGAAAGTTTCCAATTATCTGACCATTGGAGTCCACCAAAATCTGTCGTTGTTGCGGTGCAGTCGGCTGGGCGTTTTGCTGAGGCTGCTGATGTTGGGCAGGTTGCTGCGGCAACTGACTGATAGTGAGGCTGTTACTGCTGCTGCAAAGGCTTAGATTGTTGCTGCTGTCGTTGCTGTTGCTGCTGTTGGTAATAACGGTGCTGGACACCTCCATTTCGGCAGCAGACATCGGGACTGCGTCGCAAAGCATTTCCTGGCCGATCTAATAAAAAATCAAATAGTTATAACCTTTAATCGAAAACAAGCTAAAGAAAATATATACATATAGATGCAACAAACATAATTCATCAAGTAACTTTTAAGATTTTAAAACATTAAAGTTTTATCTGTTACGCTTCCTGACATATACGATTATTTTTTTTACTTACATCATTTCCATACTCGCTATGAGCTTGCGGCATGAACGAATGCTGAGACAATTGGACCATATCCTGGATATGCAACTGCTGATGTTGTGGCTGCTGCTGCTGTTGTTGTTGCTGCTGCTGATGTTGCTGCAGTTTGTCCACTATCTCGCGCACGACTTCGCTGTCTTCATCCATCATCTGCTGTTCCTGCTGGTCCTCCGTTATACATTCCACCACCTCATCGTCTTCCTCCTCCTGGTCATCGTCCTCCTCTTCGTCATCGAGCACTTCGTGGCACACATCGTTTTCCATAATGTCGTCTATAACGTCGGCATCTTGCACTACATCCATCAGATCAATAGCTTCGTGGCTTAGGTTTCGGTGCTGATCCCCAGTTGATTGTGAGCTGCTCAATTTAATGTCGCCAAAGTTCCAATCGTGCTGAACGTGCTGGTACATTTCATTTGAGTTTAATTCCACGGGCAACTCCTGTTGCTGATGTTGTTGCTGCTGCTGCAACTTGGCCACCGTTGAGAGCATGGCTTGAACACTTGCCAGAGTGGTTTCAGCTGCCGCCGCTAACGTTAATGGAGCTGTGGCTGCCCCGGTCGACGA